TGCTGGGATAACAGGCACAAGCCACTGCATTAGTCCTAAAATTATATTTTCAGGATTGTGATCTTTTGAGATTTCAACAATCAAGATTGTGGTACTCAAAATCGTGTACTTGCGAGTTATGATAAGCTCCCAAGAATGGCTGCTCTTGGGAAAACTTTCTACTGGTCTTTCATGTCCTATCTCTGATTCTTGGGACTCTGCAAGGTGACTAGGGCCAGACTGCCCTAAATCTAAGGAAAAAAGAAGCTCCCTGAGGAAGGAGAAAACTTCCCCAGGATCATACAGCTTGTAGGAGGCAGAGTGGAAGTGCCTCCCACTTCCCCCTGTATGCCCCTCTTGCCCTCTCTGCTTCCCTCCATGACAAGGGCTCTTCTCCTCTCTGGAGGTGCTGTCCCTATGCAGAGAGCCCTGGGAGACATAGATTCTTGCAGCCCTGGAGGGGAACTGGGAAACGATTTTCTCATAGAAACAATATTTCTCCAACTGGGCAACATAGTGAGACCTCTCTCTACAAAAAAATGTTTAACATTTGGCCAAGAGTGGTGGTACACACCTATAGTCCCAACTACTTGAGAGGTTGAGACAGGAGAATCACTGGAGTCAGGAGGATTACTTGAGCCCAGGAGTTGGAGGTTGCAATTAGCTATTATCATGCCAGTGCACTCTAGCAGTCTGGGCAACAGAGCTAAACCCTTTCTCGGAAAAAAAAAAAAAAAAGAAAGAAAGAAAAAGAGAGAGAGAGAGAGAGAAAGAAAGAGGAAAGAAGGAAGGAAGGAAAAAATGACACAAATAGTTTAAGGGATTTTTTTTTAATTTATGAAGATTACAGCAGATGATTTATACAAGTTAATCTCTAATCCCAAACAAGGAAGGGTAAAATAACAGCAACCAAACCAAAAAAGGGCCTATTATGCTATGAGACTTAAAGCAGTGGAGTTAAGGGGCACCATCCATAACATGTTTATTTCCAGAAACATGAGAATGAAAACTTCTCAGTCTTCAGGCCCTAAGTACCTACAGCTTCTGGAGGTGCCACCAAAGATAACTGGTAATGGTGAAAAGTCTGTGAGGTCCTGGGGAAGATTCTGCTTTTGAAAAGTAAAGACACACTAAAAATATTGCAGATTGCCCAGAGCAGAGATGAGGCCAGGAGAGGGCATTGTGTGAAAAGGCAAAACTTCCCTGAACCAGTGACACTGATGTGCTGCTGTTCCTCTTGGGAAATGTATGAGGTCCTGAATCTGCTTAAGGCTGGAGAAGGGACTGGAGTTTATTCTGACTTGCTTGTACTATGCAGAAGAATAGAAGAACCCTCCGTGCCTTCCTCTGCCATTTCAGTCTCTCACTCATCTTACTTTCTGAGTGTGAAAACGACACTCTAGTCTCTTACTGTAAGCAGAGGGGTTGATCAGAGGGGAAGCCCATCCCTTGGTCTTGAGGGAGAAATCACAGAGCCTTGGTTCAGGTGTTTTGATAACATATGATCTGAACTGTGACCTAGTCCCTGGAAAAGGATTTCAGCCGGAAAACCTTTAATTTCAGAGTGCCAATCTACTTAAAAAAATTGACTTTATTGATGGTAAAGGCAGCAAAGGGGACTAACCTAAAATGTTGATTTTCTGTATTGTCCTATAACTTACTTTGTTCATGGCTATGATTCAAAAAATTCATCTTCTTTTTTTTTAGATAGGGTCTCCCTGGGTAGAGTGCAGTGGTGTCATCATAGCTCATTGCAACCTTAAACTCCTGGGCTCAAGCAATCCTCCACCCTCAGCCTTCCAAGTAGCTGGACAGGTGTGCACCACCACATCCAACTAATTTTTCTATTTTTTGTAGACACAGGGTCTCACTCTTGCTCAGTCTAATCTCAAACTCTTGGGCTCAAACTATCTTCCTGTTTTGTCCTCCCAGAGTGCAAAGATTACAGGCCTGAGCCACAATACCTGGCCTCAAAATTCTAAACATTTGATTTTCTATGGATCACACATAAAATTAAAAGAGCTCTAGGAAGCAGAGACAAAAATACTAGAAAGAGGATATTCCTGCATTTGTTTCTGGTCACCCTGGCAATCCTTTAGCAAATGCTTTCTGAACTGGCAAAATGGAGTGAGAATGTTATGAGGTACTGAGAATACAATGGGAGCAAGACACTGCCCTTCCCCTAAACAAACTCTTAGTTTAATGTAAACAAGAAGCCAGTGAGGAAATCAAGGAAACTGTAACCTCTGCCAACAACTAGGGAAGGAATAACACAAAACTTGAGTCATGAGGGACAATAAAGAAGAGTTTGCTTTTGAATGTGAATGAATGGATCTGAAACTGCTGATCTCCCCCTGAGAACAACAGGAAACACTGGGCATGATATAAAACATGGCTGAATGCATCAGTGGCTAAGTCAGTAAAGAAACACAAGGCCAAGATGGAGAAGGAAACCAAGGGTTCAGGTCAGCCTAGCATTTGGAGCCAATTTTCCCAAGTGGCATCGATGAATTCCTGAAAAGATTACTGGGATGCAAAGGAACTGAGCAGCTTGTGCACACATGCAGGGGCTCAGACAGAAAATAAGCCAAGGCTGGGTGCAGTGGGTAACACCTGTAATCCCTGCACTCTGGGAGGCTGAGGCGGATAGATAGCCTGAGCTCAGGAGTTTGAGACCAGCCTGAGCAAGAGTGAGACCCCCATCTCCAAAAACAGCCAGGGATTATGGTGGGCACCCATAGTTGGAAGGCTGAGGCAAGAGGATCACTTGAGCCCAACAGGTTGCTATAAGCTATGACGCCACAGCACTCTACCCAGGGTGACAAAGGGAGACTGTCTCAAAAAAAAAAAAAAAAAGGCAGAGTTGAGGTTCTGTCCATAAGGTGACCCTACTGAAACCTGCAGGGTTTGGTCAGGACCTAGAAGATACACATACTAGGAATAAGGGTGTATGGGAAATACACTGGCCTTTGTAGGGACTGACAATTGCTGACTGGATTAAGGAGATCTAGGACTGTTCATGGCCTGAACACCTGCCAGAAGCATACTCCCAACTTTTCTGCAGCAAGATAAAATTCTAGGCCTTGATTTTTCTCTAAATATTTTTTTATTCACTGTCTGGCACTTAATTAAAATAACTAGGCATATAGCAGCACAGACAACATGCTGGGATTAAAACTGAAAGAACAGGCTCGGCGCCTATAGCTCAACCGGCTAAGGCGCCAGCCACGTACACCTAAGGTGGCGGGTTCGAATCCCCAGCCCAGACCCGCCAAACAACAATGTCGGCTGCAACCAAAAAATAGCTGGGCGTTGTGGCGGGCGCCTGTGGTCCCAGCTACTTGGGAGGAGGAGGCAGGAGACTCTCTTGAGCCCAGGAGTTGGAGGTTGCTGTGAGCTGTAATGCCACGGCACTCTACCCAGGGAGACAGCTTGAGGCTCTGTCTCAAAAAAAAAAAAAAAAAAAACTGAAAGAACAATATAAATGAATCCAGAGGAAATCCACATGTTTCAACCCTAAATAATGAAATTCAGAAAATCTGATTGAATGTAGAATTTATTTAAGCAAAAAAGCTTGGGGATCATCACCCAAGAAACACAGATTTCAAACAATGGAAGTCTGTGTTCCAAAGTATGGGAGTTTGGAGTCATTTGGAGGTAAGGTTTAGGGAAGCTTAATAGAATTTTAACATCTTTCAATATAAAGCTTAATGTTAAAATGATCTGATTGGTCAAAGTGGTCTTTTTCTTTAAGGAAAGGTATATTTTACTATTCTACACTGAAGATGTAAGAGTCCTGGGGTCTTTTGCACAACCTGTTCTACGTTAGGTACAGGACAATAGAGGAGGCAGTTAATTTATAATAAAGGCCAGTGTTTAGAAGAGATTTGGTTTCTGGTCTGTCACGGTCATTAATAGAATGAGAACAATTCAAAAGAAAGTCAATCTATAATCTAAGAAGCAGAAGTTGCAGCTATAGGCTATATAAAACATGTCTCTCAAGATTTAAAGTATTTTGGAGGTTTTGATGGCTGCTAAATTTTATTTATTTTCACAGTATTAACAATCTTGGTGCCAGTATTTGTGTGACCCTCGAATAAATTACAAACAAGATAACCAGTCAGAAAGAAAAGTGCAGACTACAGAAATCAAGGCAAGAAAAATAAGCATAATTCTGTACTGACTGAATATGGCAATCACATTGCAGAAGTTATTCTAAAAGAAATTACAACTGTGTACTTGAGTTGACACTAGGTTTATACAGCAGTGTTTGTATCAGTGAGCACATGTACATCGTGCTCTTCTGCAGCCATCTTTCTTTGTTTGTAGGTTTCATAAAGAATGTCTGCATTTATCTTCCATGTTTTGAATTTAGCTTCCTTTAATGCTTTCACAGATCTCACTATCTCACAGTTGTCTTCCAGCTTCTTTTTACTGTATGGAAAGGACAGAACAGTTTTGTGTGTGTGCATGTAGACCTGAGAGCTCAGTTTGGCTGGGGAGAGGAGAAGGTGAGAAGTGTGAAGGAAGGAAGCCCTTCTTCATCTTCTCAGGGCAAACTCACTCCCACTGTGTAGGGGACTTCTTCCCAATAAACAACATACCATCCACGCTACATTTCTTGGACCTCAAGGCTCTCATCTTTGAATCTGCAAATCTGTCATTTACATCTTATGCCTTTAAGACAAATATGAGAAAAGACATTCAAAAAGGAATGTGCTTTCACAACATCGTGAATGTACTTAACACTGCTGTACACTTAAAAATGTCTGAGATGGCTAATTTTATGTTAAATATCTTGTACCATAATGTAAACATTTTTTTTAAAGGAGACAATGATGTTCAGTTCTCTGAGTTATATAATTTATGAGAATAACTTTTTGTTATCTGCTGTTTGATCTTTAGCCAAGTGTTTGCTTTCTGAACATCCTTTTCTTCCAACTTCACTTTTTTTCTTTAAACTGATGTTTATTTTCCTCCAACTTTATTTCCATCTTGTTTAAGAGATGTGAAAGAACAGTTTAAGACCACACACTGGTTGTTCCTGTGGCTTGAGCAGTGGGAGCAGCTGACCAGTCTTCAGTGCCAGGCTGGGCATTGCAGTCTTCAGTGGGGACCTGTTGAATAGGCACAGGGGGCACCTGCAGCCTTCTTACCAGTCTGTAAACTCTGGTTGAGTAGCAGTAAACTCAGGAGCTGGAGCAGTCCATTCACCCTGAAATTCCTCCTTGGTCACAGCTCTCTCAGCAGCAGCCTGCTCTTCCTTTTCAATCTCTTCAGGATCTCTGTAGAAATAGAGATCTGGCATGTAGTAAAGCCACATTAAAGGCTGCTCAAGGTCTGCAGGAAGGGATATTCCTTTGAAGACCCTCCAGAGAGATTAGAAAACTAATCTAGTGGGAGGCAGGCACTGAAAACAGAGCATCCTGTGGTCAGGAATTTCCTGGAAGAGACCTGAGTAGTGGTAAATCAAGATAAGGTTAGTGTGCAGCTAAGTTAAAGATTACATCTGTTCTTTACAAATGAATACCTTGTTCTTTGAAGCAAAAAAAGATAAATAAGGCTTGTGACTTTTTTGTGACTATATTGTTTTGTAATTTTAAGAATTATCTGGACCAATGGATGCCAGCTCATCTAAAGTTAGATTATGAACGTGTAGGTGATTATGTGTGTATGTTCAGGATGCTTTATAAAAAGCATAAAAGTGAGTAAGAAATAAACTGGGGTTACTGCATGCCTGAGCCAGCTACTGCATGCCCTCCAATCCTCTGCACATTCTGACTGCTGGCTTTGCCTCTGTGACTCCAATCAAAGAACTTCACTCAACACTGGCATGACCTCCCATGGATGTTCATGGGAGATGGTGCCACTCATGCGCAGAACTTCCCGGGCCAGCATCCACCACATCAGACCTACTGAGTGAGCTCCCTTGTTGATACATGGGATGATGATGACCACATAACGCAGAGGAGAATCTGTGTGACCCAGAGCAATGGTAGGCAGCTTGACATAAGTTGCCTCTGTGAGAGGCTGGTGGTCAGCCCTGGGATCAGTAACCAGTAGAAGACAAGGCTCCCGGAAGGCTGCCTGGATTGGTTAAAGAAGTTTCCGGGAGTGAAGCAGCCAGCACTAGGAGTGACTCCAGTGGCAGCAGCAAACTCCAGCACAGCTCACTGGCCAGTGTTCCTGGAGGATGTGACACTGACATCAGCAGAGTTTTCAATGGCAACAATGGCCTGAACAGCAGCAGAAGCTTCTCCCAGGTCCTCTTCAGATTTATGACGTAGATGCTGTCACTTTTCCCTTTGTAGATGTCCTGTTCCATTTAGAAGTCAAGGTTGCTGCCACCTCAGTGGGTTCCTGCTGCAAGGAATTTGAGGACATCCTCCTCCTTCATTTGTAGGATATCAAGGTCTCCGGAAATTGGTAAAATTTTCCTTTAAGTTATGGTGGGAATCCAGAACAAAACCATATGGGCCCTCCCTGAGCAGCACGGAAAAGCTTCCAACTTCACTTTTGCTTTGCTGACCTGAGCTTCACTATGGGCGATTTGAACCTAATGCAAAACATTCTCACTAATGACTTAATTCTTAAGAACAAAAATTATGAGTAGGTAGCATAAGATTTTAGTATTCTAAGGACATGAAATATTTGTTTCTCCACCAAACTAAAAAAGCAATCCTACAGCCAATATAAATAATTTACCTCTGGCATTCCTAAGGCATTTATAGAAATAACACCTCTTACATTATTTGTAGATTTTTCTTTTTCTACTATTTACATGTAGGTTAGAAACAAAATGCATCCCAAGATTTCAATAGAAACACTGGGCAATATTCTACAAAGAAGAAATGTCAAGAATACATATCTCATAGTTAGCCTATATGTCATGTAAAAGCAGTTGACCCAATTTGAGTGAACGGAAAAGTTAAGTATGTAAAACAATGAGAAACAAGGCAAATATTAATAGTTGAAGGCAACAGAATAATTGGGTGAAAAGGCAGAAACAAAGGTGTGAAAGGTTTCAAATCAAACAGCTCAAATAAATGGCTTTTCTTAATGGAAGATTAAAAGGGACATTAAGAAAGGGGCTGAAGGTAGGATGGGGTGGGGAGGAAAGCCTGGCCTGCTGAACCAGGAAGTCTGGAGGGCCCATGAGAATGTGGATATGAGATAACCTAGGTAACTAAGACCCAATAGGAAGAGATGATAATCAAATAGAAAAGGGCAATAAAAGTGACTCTAACCTGGAGGCACAGAGAGGCCAATGAAAGACTTGCAACCAGTTTCAAATGGAGAGGGTATTTATATGTGTCTCTATCTCTCTCACCTTCTTTCCATCACGAGCCAGGACCCACTTCCAACTTTGGAAGTGCTCTAAACTTTCTCTTTGTTCTTCCTAAATAAAATCTCTTTGTTACACTGAAACTTGTGCAAGTTACTTTGGCCTCTGTTTACTCTGCCCATGTCACTCCAGCTTTATTTTCCAGTTTCCATTCATTTTACTTTCAGTTATTGCCATGCCTCATTGAACTTTCTAGCTCAGCTGAGTAATTGACCCAGGTCAACTAGGTTCAGGAACTGGGACTTCTGGCCCTCAACAGAAGATAAATGTTGTCAGATTGACCAAGAAAATTCTGTTCTGCATTAACAGGAATAAGAATGGTGTAGAACTCATCCAGGGTCCAAGACTGTGGAAGAAAACAAACAAACATTCTCACCAGGTCCTAAATAATAGAAAAGGTTATTGCAGTATTAGTACTTGAAATTCAATGTCATTGTTTAGAGAGTTCAACTTTTAAGACTCTCACTTTTACTACAGCAAACAGCATAGGAAAACATAGGTCTCAATTCATCCAATGACACAAGGCCTGACAAATCCACAAACTCCTCTTAGAAAATGTGCTACATACCTCATTGCTAAATATCAGTATAGGTGCTCCCCTTGAGAAGCTATGCACAGACACCAGTGTCTAGTCCACCCTTCAAAGTAATTTCTGAACTCTTTTACTGTAATACCTTCAGAGCTATTGCTTTAGATTTGACAATTCAGTACTACATATCACATAGCTGACTATCAGTGAGGCCACATGGCCAAGGGGAGTGCTTTAAAGGTGAGTGTAGTGTTACTCAGCCTTTGCTAACATAATTGTCTGACTTTATACAAAAAGTCTCAAAAACCAAGTATGGCAAAAACAGCAAAGCTCTCACCAAGTACCAAGTGATGACATTCTGTTAGGCAAGATAAGGACCACTGACTCAAATTAAAAGTTCAAAAGGAGTCTTTTATTCACTGCGGGGCTGTCTCAGCAAAGTCTAAGGCAGACTAAGTGAGAGAGCATTGAGGGGTCTGAAGTTGGGGTTTTAATAGTCTGAAAGTTGGCAAAGGAAACAAACAGGTGGTTTGAAAGTTAGCAAAAGAAGCAAAAAGAAAGTTGGCAAAAGAAGCAAAAAGCAAGCACGGGGTCAAGATGATCCCTTTCACAGAAAAGAACCTGGCAATTTAGCAGATTAGCAGATAGGTAATATAAAGGTCACATAAAACAGATCTGGCAATAACGCCAAGCAGATTTGGCAATTAGTGAATAAGTAAAACAATTTGTCACAGCACGTAGCTTGGTAACTCTCACCATGACAGCATTGAGCTTGTTAGCTCTTATCTTATTTGTTCCGACCCAAACTAAGAGTGATGGTACTTGGCATCATTTCATTTACCTCTTTTTCCCCTTCCTCCTACCCAGCCCCTGGTCTTATGGATTGGGTTGGGTGGTGTGAGGCTGTTAGGAGCCGCCAGCATCCATCTCAATTCTAGTTTCTGGTAGACTGCAACTTAGCACATGTATTTTGAATAACGTCATTTAGGATTTCCCTAGTCCTTTTAATGGTTTCAATGCAGTGCAGCTCGAGGGGCCCAGCCTGCTTCCCACTCCAGCAGCTAACCCCTCTGGGCCAGGTGGGGTGTGGCTCTGTAGGTCGCAGGCCAGCGACCTAGGGGCAAGCTCCAGGAGCACCATAGGTTAGCAATGGTCTAGGGTCGTTGGCTTGGGCACGTTGCTGTGAGGGACCCACTGCAGGCCTCACCACCCCAGGCTCACAGCTGCCTGTGGGAGCTGCTACTATGGGGGCTCAGCAACATCTCAGACCGGATGCCTCGAGGGCGGGGCCTGGAGGAGCTGGCCAGGCCCCCTGGTGGAGAGAGGGGACATCTAGGCTCAGATGAGCCTGTGGCTTGAGACCCGCCTGGGCCAGGCCAGCCAGCAGGGCTCCCGGAGGGATGGGCGCTGTGGCGGTTAGTTGAGATGGTCACTGGGTGCACCACCCCCCACCTTGGACCACAGGTACCCCCTTTGACCTTGACTGCACTCCCAGGCCATTCCTCCCCAGGGGAAACAAATTCTTCTGGATGGCCGTATTGCTGCATAAATGCCCACATGCCCTGTTCCCCCACTCCCCACCTCAGGTCCACTCCCTCTGCCCTTTGCTAAGGGAAAAAAACACCAGCTGGGATCCAATCTGGCGATAGGGGATGGTAAGGGGCGGACTGGGAAAAGAATATGCTGAAGTCACCATGTAGGGCCTTGAAATGGTGATAATGAGGCAAGAAAGTAAAAGCAGAGCTAAAAGAATCTGTCCTAGCTGCCCTGTGAAGGCTTTTGCCAAGCCATAGGCGTTTCTGTTGTTTATATGTTCCTCCTTTGACATGTGTGGGGCCTAGATTGTAACCTTCCTTGGACTTCCGTGGCCTTTGAGGGCAGGTGGTCCAACGGTCTCAAGGGTGCGGGTCAATCTGACCTTCCCCTTGAGCCCAGGATCTTGAGAATGATGTCGTGTCTTTCTCTGTTTTATGACCCTCACATGCACTCTAGCTCCGAAAAGTGGATAAAAGGGAGGCAGGGGATTCAGGCAGGGGCTCAGTTTTTAGAGACACACTGGTCTTCCGAGTTCCCCTGCTGGAATAAAGCCACTTTCTCTAATCAACTGGTGCCTGGAGTCTTCTGTCTGTGTCGGTTTCCTGCTATATTTCTTGGTTCTCTGACCAGGAAGCGAGGTTTGGTGGCAAAACCGTGCAGCCAGATTCTTTGGGTTGGGTTCTGCCCGCCCAGCAGATCACCCCCTTGGGGAACTCCAGCTGGTCTGGTGATACAATCCTCAGAGCTCTCTTGTGACAAATTCTCCTAGAGAACATCTTGAGACTGATCTGGCAAGGTCCCTGTGGAGGCTGAGCACCAGAGAGGAACTGGTAACAGGTGGTGCCAGGATGTCCAGAGTAAGGTATGAGCAATTTGGGGAGCCCACTACAGTTTTAGTGGAAGAAGGAGCCTGATCAACTCCTTGGGCATTAGATTGCTGGCAGGTCTATTGAGAGGTGTGTGAGTGTGTGGATGTGATGTAACTGAGAGAACTCTGAGAGTGGATTTGGACCTCCTTTCACAGGGCCTAGGGGAGTGTTGATTTGCCTGCTATGGCTAAGTGGCAGCTCGAGTGGGAAATCGAGGCTGCCCAGGTTAAGAAATGGGTTGGAATTGTGTGCATGTGAGTGCTTGGAGAATGACTGAGATGGGTAATGACAGATGGGGTTTTGTACCCCCACCCCAATCATGGGGTGAAACGAATGTGTGAGCGTGCCCTTCTCCCCTATTCCAACTTTGCCCCCTGGCTGTTCTGAGGGAAACTGGAAGTTCCAGGTTTTCTGCTTTCTGTTTCTGGGTGGCCACATGGCCATTTCGTCTTGGGGGAAAATGAAAAGACATTAGAAAAGATTTTGTAGTTTTGTTACTAGAATTTCTTCAGTGAGTTTTTGGTCTCAGGAATTTGAGAATTGAGCCTGTGGGCCACAGATAAGTGATAAAATGGGATTTTGTTGGACTGAGGGGCATGCAGAGGGAGTAAAGAGTGCCAGAGCTATTGGCAGAGAGGCTCTGCCTTGGAAAGTGTTGCAGTTCTGGCAGTCTGGTGAGCTCTGGATGGCCCTTGAAAAATCTGGGGGAGAGAGTATAAATCTCCTTTGTGGGGCTGTATCAATATCAGCAACAGGTCTCCAAGGCAGATAGCCTCTGGAAGGAGGGAGGAGGCCCAGGTTGGAGGTTTCCTGAATGAATCCTTTGTCTAGGGGTAAATAATTGGCCCTGAGAGATATTTTGGCCAGGACTTGGTAGATGGAAAAATACCTTTACAAACTGAATGGGTGATCTGGCAAATGGATGAATATAGCCCCACACCTTGGACAAGGTTATTAGGTCTTTGTCTGGGGAGAGGATTAGGGTGTGTGCTCCTTGGTCAGGGTGGAGCCATCCAAAAGGTTTCAGGCTGCTTTGTTCATGACCTGGCTGAGGCTCAGAGA